ACAGGTCGACCTCCACGCGGTTACACCTTGAAACCATCATAATGCATTGTTTTGAAATTCGTCAAGATGAGCTAACTGACCTAATTTCTCCTCCATCATCAGCCTCATCTATCATTCCACACTGGTTTACTTTCATTATCACCCCATGAAAACAAATATCTATATGTAAATTTGCAGTACATTTACAAAACATACCTATATAAATTTTCTGTTTATGAAGTGACCAATTTTTACGTCGATACGTGAACGTAATTTACATACCTAATATCTACAAATCAATTTACTTGTTAAACAAATGTGTAACATATCACATATAAGTAAGGATCTATTTACTTACGTAGCCAAATGATAACTGTAACTCATAAAGTACCTGTAAATCTACCTTATGCTTAATTATGACATCATAATTACGTAATTTTTATATAAATAGTAACAAATAATTAGGAATAAAATTTGATAAGAAGGTGAATTTTTGTAAAATTTCTTTCTTATAACAATTCCTTGTAGTCCACTCACCGATAGATGGCGCTCTTATTAGAACTAAAAGTTGGCAAATAGAATAAGAGTTCGTTATAGCCTGGCTTAAATCATCAGCATCCATAATTTATTACTAATATCTAGGAGAATACAATTTAAATTACATTTTAATAATATATGTGTAACACTACCTAGTAAACAACATTTATAAAGTTGTAGTCATTATTTTGAATACTTATTTTAAACTGGAGAATTTAACATGTATTATTTTTTAATTAATTTAATTTGTTACTAATGCCTAAATGAATACGATTTAATCTATATTTTAATAATATATGTGTTAAATATAAAACAACATTTATAAAGTTGTAGCAATTATTTTGAATATTTTTTTATATTTATTTTAAATTGGAAAATTTAAAATGACTAATACTGACCTAGGTTACACATTATATATTTTAAGATTTGCATTATAAAATATAACACTTTCATTCAAACCAGCTCGTAACACTGTTTGATATTAACACAGGTTATTCAATAGATACACACATAGATATAATTTATTGATATGCTAACAGATACATAATAAGTAACAAAACCTGTTTCACAAGCTGTTGATAAGGTAACTTTTAATGAAATAAAATTAGAAAAATAAGTGTGCAACCAAAAAAAAGAAAACTAGTAGTATGTAGATGAAGTAGGTATTATTGTTTTATCTATGGTACAGTCATTGTAACAAAAGCCATAGATGTAAATTTGAAAATAAAAAGACTCAAATGGAGATGGGCAGGGCACATGATCAGAGGAGAAGACAAGTGGAGTAAGAAAGTGACAAGATGGTATCCCAGAGAAGGCAAACGGAAAAGAGGCAGACCCTGCATAAGATGGGATGATGACATCAGGGAAGTGGCTGGAAAAATATGGGACAGAGTGGCTCAGGATAGGCGAGAGTGGAAACGGTTGGAGGAGGCGTTTACCAAATGGCAAACAGATCTTCAAAAAATAAGCAAGAAACAATTATTAGAATAAGTTATTTTTTTTTTTAATTTATGTTTGTTTTAATATACTAAGTTGATCTGAATAAAGGCTATATTATTATATATTATTATACAGTCATTGTACTCGATTCTGAAGCGTCGTTATCTATCCACCTATCTCTTTTCATTACTTTGCCTTGGGTAGTAAGTATGAAAAATGCACGAGACAAAATCGAAACGGAAGTGACATCTATCGTGAATACACACACGACAAGATATCTTGTAGACACGTTACATTGAAAATATTTGAATTTCGAATGTGGAATCGTGGATCTACTACGTGTTTTGCCTCGCAACAAGTATGTAGTTTTTTATTCCGTTAAAAAAAACAAATGAGAATATTTCTTATTAAGTTTAACAATTACAAAAAAATATATGTATCCTGTTGGCTATTACAAATAGGAAAGTTTATAAAGATGGATGGATATAATAGGATTAATGTTTGTTTGACTTTCACGCAAAAACTACTAAATGGATTTGAATGAAAACTAATACACAAGTAGGTTATATTTTAACTTAGCATATATAATATTTTATGCACTGACTTGCGCAAGCAAAACCACGAGAAATATCTAGTACTAAAATAGGTTTAGGATTGGCGACGTAATCGTCTAAAATATTTGTTAAAAAACTCAGATGCATTGAAAGATTGGATATTTTGAAACTTGCTTCATGTTTTAGTTTTCATTTATCTTTTATGTAGAGAATCTAAAAGCCGTTTTTTATACTACTGAGGTGGTAAACAAACATATGAACCTCCTGATAGTAAGCGGTTACCGTAGCCTATGAACGGCTGCAATACCAGGAGCATTACACGCGCGTTGCCAACCCTGATGAAACCTCTACCCTTTTTTCGAAGAACTCCAGTAAATAGAGATGTGAGCTGAGTTGAAAGTATCTAATTATTGGGTAGTTGGTAGTAATAGTAGTAATTCTGTTGATATTAGAACTAAATAGAATAGAAATAATCTATATTCAATTAGACTTGTTTACAAGCTCTTTTAAATCATCTATTTTTTATGATTCTACTGCTATGTTGAGAATGTTGTTATCCGCTGAGAAAAACCCAGCGAAAAACACAACAATTAGGCTCTTTTCTATTTATTTATGTTATAACTATAATTTTATTAGTATATTCACTTCTATTTATATGTATTATTCAACGTGAAATAAACAGGCAAACATGAGCAAACCAATCGCTACAAACAGCATCCGTTCACGAGTATGACTGAAAAGCCAGTCGTCATTACGGTCAACCACATTTGTTAGAGAACTCAACGATTCGGTCCATTACGCCGCCACTAGTCTAGACCTTAGTGCTCCCTATCAGGGGGGAAAGGGATTGTTAGTAATAGAGACTGAGAATCCCATTGCTAGCAATATACCCAACCAGGTCGACCGCCTCGCGGTTCCCTCTGGAAACTAACATGGTTAATTCCTGATGAATTCATCATGATGGGCTAACTGGCCTGTTTTCATTCTCATTTATCACCCTTCACTGGTGCTTCGCCAGCGTATCCCGTTAGCGCAGGCGGGGTGGGGTTACCATAGCATTTTCACCCATCAAAACTTTCATAGACATAAAAAAAAAAGACCTTAGAACTCAACTATTTCTTACTAACCTCGTAATTGAGTTTACAATAAAGAATTAGATCTCTTACGTCTATAATTAATTTTTAGTAAAATAAATAAATAATATATTAATAATAATGTATTATTGGGGGAAAAGGGGTTGTTAGCAATGGAGTTTGACAGCCCCATTGCTAGCAATATGCCTTATTAGGTCGACCTCCACGTGGTTCCCCCTGGAAATCATCGTGAACAATTCTTATTGAATTCGTCACGATGGGCTAACTGACTTGCTTCATCTTCACCTATATCGACCACATATGTCGATAGGAGGTCGACCTGGTTGGGTATATTGCTAGCAATGGGATTCTCAGTCTCCATTACTAACAATCCCTTTCCCCCCTGACCCAATATTAGATATCGGGTATTAAATATATGGAAAAGAAAAACCCGCTTTTAATGAATATAGATATCCAACTTCTATGGGCGATATCGCAATGGGTGGTCATCAATATCCAGAACTTAATATATAGTTATCGGACATCACTCGTCTCTACTTAAAAGATATGGATGAACTGTATGAAAAATGGGAGTGAATGCCTAGAGAAGAATGGAAGACGACAATATAGGTGGATGTCAAAGAAATAAAAATTGGGGTAAGTTTTTGACGAGTGATAATATAATCCCGCCTGCGCTTTCGATATACGTTGGCGGTGCACCAGTGTGCATCCCTCAGCATAGGTGAAGATGACATCAGGTCAGTTGGCACACCGTGACAAATTAAACAAGAATTAACCACGACTGTTTTCAAACAGAACTGCGTGGAGGTCGAATTGACCTATCAAATAGGTATACCGTCGACTGATAGAGATTGTGGAAATAAACTTAGTCAAGCAAATTTATGTGAGTGTAAATACGTCTAAAAATTAAAGACTTCATTCCAAAATCTAAATCCGGATCAAGTATACTTAACAGTCGACAATCTGTCTATTTCATCAGTGATTATAAGTCTTAATTGGTTATAGGTATATATTTATTTTTAATTTTTATCTACTTATGTAGATATGCCATAAAAAATTATAGGTACTATTGGGATTTAAAAAAGCCGTTCTTATTACTTTTCTTAATATTATAGTTTTACACCTTCATACAAGGTAGTATACTAACTCTTTACGGTCTACTTTCTTATAGTCACCTTGATTGGATTAGTAGACCTCAAGTCCTATTAGGTATATCTGATAATTATTCTAATATTTAAATATCTAGATTGTTTAGACTCTAAGTCTGTTCAAAATGAAAAGGTCCAATCAAACATAGGCAAAGAAAGAGATATAGACAATAACGATGCGAAACACTAATCTTCAGAATTCTCTTCTTAATTGAACAACTTCTGAGAAGTTTTGAACGTGAAGCCACGAGCGAACTTGGTGTTCGCAAAAACTTTACATTCCAACTTCGGCGACTAGAATAACTCCGGCTGGCGCGGCGGCGTCGCACCGCGTCGCTGGTGGGTCGAACGGATGAGCTGATGAGGACCACTATACAAGGATACCACTAGCCGCCGCACAAAAGATATTGCGAGAACGTAACGAGCTCAATTGATGAACGAACGGAAACGTGTCCAATTAGAAGGAGGCGGCGGCGGCGGCGGCGGCCGCGAGTGTCGCCCCCGCTCGCCGCATTAACCAGATTAGCGGAGCCCCCCGCGGGCCCCGCGCGCGTCTCCGGCGCGCGAGGTGTGGCGGCGGCGGACACCTCGCTCGCGACGAAAAAACAACGCGTCGTGGCGCCGCGGCCCCGCCTGCCGCGCGGGAGGCGCGCGCGCGGGGCGCCGCTCGGCGCGCCATTGGGCGGCGCGCGGCGGGAGGGGTGTCGGAGCCGGCGCCGCCGGCGGCCAGTCGTTTGACGCCTGCCGCGCGAGCGGGTGTCGCCACGGGACGAGCGAGTGTCGCGAACGAGCCGCCGGCCGGCGCGTTATGGACGTTGCATGAGCGGGCGCGAGCGCGACCGCTGGAGCCGACGGGCACGCCGGTCGTGGAGCGCGCGCCGTGGGCCCCGGGCGGCGCGGGCATGCGCTTCGAGGGCGCGGAGCGGCGCGACGCCGTCGCGTTCCACCCGTTGCTGGCGCCGCGGCCGAGCGACTTCTCGGTGTCGGCGCTGCTGACGGCGGGCGCGCTGCCGCCGCCGCCGTACTTGCCGGCCGCGCTAGCCGCCGCCGCCGCGCTGTCCGCGCCTTGTCCGCTGCTCAAGCCGCCACCGCCGCCGTACGCGCCGCTACCGCCTGACGACGACGGTGTCGTCGACGATCCCAAGGTCACACTCGAAGGCAAGGACCTCTGGGAGAAGTTCCACAAGCTGGGCACCGAGATGGTGATCACCAAGAGTGGCAGGTCAGTACGGCCCCTCGTCACCTTCGTTGCTCGTTACCAAACGTCGCTTGTGATCGTGTCGCGTTGTTGCCAAATTATGGACGTGCTAAATGTGTGTTGTGTGTGATATAAATCACAAATAACTAAAAAAATACATGTAAGATGGGGTAAGTAAAGATAGAACTAGGTTTTAAGGTGTACAAAACGTTACAAATACATACAAGTAGGTCACATGGAGTTGTTTACCAAAACAACAAAATTATTATTAAACGCATAAAAAGTCATAACCATAACAAATGTTCTACACGACAATGCACCTAATTAGACGCTAACTTATTTCATATAGATAGGTGAATATTTGTTAATTGATTATAGCGTGAAATGCTAAATTAGAAATAAAAAAAAAAGTACCAAAACGAAATTAAAAGTTAAGGATAAAACGGAAAATATTTGACTACAAAGAAAACTTATTTTATTACGTGTTAAATCTTGATTTATAAAACGCCTTAAGCTATCCAGTGCCACTGAACATTATCTACTCACTTGTCTTTAAACTATTAAATGTTGAACGTCTCTTAATTTGAAATTTAAGTACTATTATTATAGAAAATATAGATTATTTCAAAGTAATAAATGTTATCTACGAACAAGCCGTGTCTAGTATTAGGCGCATTTTTTCTTGCATCCTGCATCCGACGGTAGGTGCCGTGTCGCTGCATTAATTGCCCTCTCGAAATTTCGTAAGCAGGGATATATTTTTATCTACATATATTAAATTTCACACAAAATTTAAAATTAAGAAGAAATAAAAGTTTTATCTGATTAGATGTAAACAGTTTTATCGTGTATAATACTTATTCGCCCAAATTGTTCATTGCATCAATACCTATACTTTATAGGTAGGTTAGAGATCTTTTTACTGTCTACTAGTTGTATAAATCTATCAATAACTTTTTGGGATAAGCAGACATAACCAAGAACCTCTGTTGTCGACCGCCATATTTCATCATAGTTTTTTTTTTTTTTTAATAAATAAAACGGCAAACATGCCAAAAAAAAAAGCTTCGATATTTAAATTTAACAATAATAATTAATGAAAGTTCTATATTGTTCTACTAGGCACTTTAATAGCTATAAATTAGATTAGAAAATTCTTTGTAAGTTTTTGACCGTCCCTGTGGTCGGAATCTAATCTTGAATATTTGGTGTTAGTTACCATTTAAATAGCTGTCCAATAAGTATTTCCTATAGCCGAAAATTAGACCTGTATTGACTCTCGGTCATTTTTAGTATATAGCCAAACTTTTTACTCACTATCTTTACCCGCGAATTCGTCCACATAACCGGAATATATTGATTGATCTGTATAAGAAATGGCCTATGTTTTTCATCCATCAATAATCTCAAATACGTACTACTTTTGGTGGCGATTTGTTGAGCTGTTAAAAGGCAAACAAGTAATAAACAAACTGACTTTTATATTTATAATTTTAATAAAGACTGTATATATATATATATCTTTAAGAATATTGCATAAATTGATGACCGCGACTTTATAGGAATATTATAAAACGTTTGTTCATAATATTAGAAATTATGTTATATAAAACAAAATAAAAAAATAATAAGACTGATGATCATCAGGTGGTCGAAAATTAAACGTTTATATAAACAATTGTATTTATTTTTATACAACTTAGAATGGCAAACAAGCTGGCGGCCCACCTGATCATAAGTGGTAACCGTTGCCTATAGACATGAGCAGTACCATGGACATAACAGAGTATACTGTTTCACCCATGATACCCCCCATGTATTGGTTATCGGCAACAGAAAACATCATCATATCGGCCCTTAACTGTCCACTGCTGAAAATAAGCTTAGGAGGTTTTGCCAATAGTTGTCATGCTTGGCAGACGGATTGGCAACCGTAGTTAGGCTTTAGAAATATTTTAAGAGGGACGCTGTTGCCCATCCCTTGCCCTCCCTTAGTCGCCTCTTACGACACCCACGGTAAAGGTGGCCCACCTTGTGGAAACCCACCGCCTCTTGGTGGTCCATTCTATGCCGGGAGCTACACGGCAAAATACGTACGAGTAAATACAATGTGATTTTGATACATTCGGATTTCTTTCATTTAACGCTTGATATTCTGCGTAGCTACGTATTTGATTATTTTTATGCTCTAAATTGGATTGCTAACGCCGTCCGTGCTACTAGTTTATGCTGGCTTGGATGGATTATGGTATGAATGATGATGATGAATTGCTCAAAAATCAACTGGGAAGGACCGCGTGGAGGTCGACCTGGTAGAGTGTATTGATAGCAATGGGGTCGTTGCTAATAACGTTGTAATAATTACCTACTCATTCGCAATTGTGGGACTTTGGATATAATAAATTGTAGTGATGATGATGACTTTATCATTAAAAGAAGTCGCTGGTCAGTAGTCAACTTTAGTATAATAGTATAATAAAATGATTTAGTATAATAAAAGTATATAATATAATATAATATAACTTTAGTATTGAAACTGAAGGTAATCCAAGTAATTCGATATTTGTCCTTCTCCGGTTCAATTTATTTATGACTAGCTTTTACACGCGACTTTGTTCGCGTAACCGGTATATGTTTATTGACCGGGATAACAAGTAGCCTATAACCTTCTGTATCCCATATAGTACGTGTATAATAAGTTAAGAAGATATAAGACATCAAACAAACAAACTCACTTTCATTTTATTATTATTATTATATATAAGTGATATTAGTAAGAAATAGTTTTTTTTTTTTTAGTTTTAATGGCAAACAAGCTGATGGCCCATAAAACGGAACCGTCGCCCATAGGAAGCAAGATTTCTAGCATGTAGTAAGTACCCTGTCCTATCCTATCAAGTCGACCTCCTCGCGGTTTCCCTGAAAACTATTGAGCTCAATTCCAGGTGAATTCGTGACATTTTTTTTTAATGTGTGAAAATTAAATAGTAACCCCGCGCGCGCTATCGGTATACACCGACGAGGCACCAATGTAAGATGATAGGTGAGAATGAATGCAGATCAGTTGGCTCACTATGATGAATTCGACAAGAATTAACCATGATGTTGTCCAGGGGGAACCGCGTGGAGGTCGACCTGAGATGGTATATTGCTAACAATGGGGCTATTAGACCTCATTATTAACAACCCCTCCCCCCCCCCAGTTCGTCATAATTGGCTTACTGACCTGTCTTTTCATCCTGACATACATCTCATCCCTCGCTGGTACTCGGTCAGCGTACGAGGATACCGTTAGGCCAGGCGGGGTTACTATTTCATTATCACTCGTTGGACAAAAAACCCTTCGAATTTTTTTTTATACAACTTAGAATGTTAAACAAGCTGACGGCTTATCTGATGGAAAGTGGTAACCGTCGCCTATAGACATGAGCAGTACCATGGACATAACAGGGTATACTGTTTCGCCCATGATACCCCCCCATGCGTTGACATTCCTGAGGACTCAGGTGTTATTCCTCAAATATTGCGCCAAAATTAGTATTTAATACACCATGCACCCTCTTCTATAGACATTTCATCACCCGTATCCAATAGCGAGGACAGGATGCCTTAAATACTGTACCTATACCGGGAACCATAAAGGAAAATGTTCGCCATAGACATGAACATCTTGTGCGTTACAAAATACACTATACCTTCCGTTGCCTTTATACCCAAAACTACACTTCTGAACTTCACAACTTCAAAGCTGTAGAAACACAAATGGGACAAAAATACCCATACTGATGACATTTGTTCAAAGTCTCTCAGATATACATTAATCCTTGCTAATTTATCAATGTGAAAGTGAATTTGTTTGTTTGTCATCTTATAGCGCCTTAACGGCTTTACCAATCACTATGATATTTAGTATACACAGTATAGGTAGAAGAAGGGTATAATAGGCTCCTTTTAATAAAATTACGCCTATACTCAGGGATTTTTTGTTTGATCTACCAGATGAGAATGAATGCAATGAATTTATCAAGAAATACAATGTTATCCAACACGGACCGCGTAGAGGTCGACCTAACAGGATATATTGATAGCAATGGTCTTCTAGACCTCGTTATAACAATGTCTTTCCCTCTCTATTCTCAGGGATTTTTTAATGGATGACAATACAATGGTAACCCCGCCTGCGTTAACGCTACACGCTGGCGGGCCACCAGTGGGATGATAGGTGAGGATGAAAAGGCAGGTCAGTTAGCCCTTTGTGATGAATGCACTTGGGTTTCAGTACGACGATTTCAAGAGAAGGTTGACCTGTCAAGGTATTTATTATTACTAGCAATGGGACTAGTAGTCCATAATTACTAACAATCCCTTCTCCCTCCCATCTCCAAGGATTGTCCCATCTGGGATTGCAATCGTGAACATATCGGAATATTAGCTACCTGTAAAGTATCCGTGCGTACAAAAACACTTGAAGGGGCGTTCAGTGCCAAAATTCGGAGGGTAACACTCGAAACATCAAAGCGAAAGAAGTTTTCCGAAATAAAAAAAAAAAGAAATTTCTGGAAAGTGAAAGGTACGAATTTATTTTTCAAGGCGTCAGCTCCCTTCGTTAGAATCCTTTGGACGTTAAATATCGTACACAAAGTTTCTCCCTTTAACTTTTTTTTTTTTTATAGGGCCTATGAAATGGCACTCGGAAAATTGTTTCCTTTATCTTTGTATTTGTTTAATTTGAAAATTAAATGCAGATTTGAAAATGAGATAGCGATATATTTTTTTTATTAATTAATTTATTTAAGTAATATCAGAGAATGACTAAAAACAATTAAATGCTGTGAATTAAAATATGATCGGTGCATTAATATCTCCATATTTCAAGATATTGAAAACGGGGTCTGTTCTGAGAAAGTATTCTTTAAAACTATGTCTGAAATAAAAAAAATAATTTGATAGTTTAGGGAATCTAACCTAACCTCGCCGTGTGGGGGGAAATAGATTGTTAGTAATGGAGACTGAGAATCCCATAG